GGGAGGAGGTTGATCAGTGTGCAGGGAGTTCGGGGTCCTGGCTCTTCCCCCTCTTGCTCCTGGGATGGCTCATTTTCCACTAACAGCAGTCACAGTCGTGTTGCCAGCCACTTACAATAGAATCCATCAGCTTTTCCCCCGATGATCTTACCCAGACCCATCAAGAGGAGACGGTTTGCTGGGAGTTTACAAAGACTTTGGCTAAGGAGACATGATCATGCACTGCACCACAGGAAGTGGTCTCTGTTGGGCTTTTCGAAACCATTTTTAAGACTTATTTACATTCACATACTTGGAGTAGCTATATGAAGAAAAGCTTCAAGAAGTCTGTAGAAACCCTGGAATTAAAAGCTATTGGAATCTTCATAGGAGCATTTTGAAGCTCCCTCATTTTACTAGTTACTCTCAGTGTTTCCTCCAGAACCTTCCCCATAGTTACTATATGTGCATTCAGTCACACTTGTCCAACATTTTTGTTTTTTTTCTTAAGAGCAAAGGTTTATTATAGGGAAGAGCCTTGCAAGATAACATGGGGTGGCTTAACCACCACCTACCACCCACCTCCATCTCCTGACCTGTTTTTGAGGATGGGATATGTACATGAAAGAAATGTGCTGGTCTGGTTAGTAACTATAAATGCCTTTCTTTCTCTTGTTTTAGAAATATCTGCATGAGTCTCGGCACCGACATGCCATGGCAAGGAAGCGTGGTGAAGGTGGACGGTTTTTCTCTCCAAAGGAAAAAGATAGTCCTCATATGCAGGTAAGAAGTCTTATACTTCTAATTCTTTTAATTGTAATCTTTATTGTGTGTTGAAGGCTTTGGTAGCAGCATCTTACTATTTACTGCATTTAAGAATAAATCAAGTTCATTAAATTAGGTGCAACATTGTGTCTTTTAGATTCTTTTTGGTTTTAAACATTAGCCTGTGTTCCTTCCTTATTGTCTTTGCAAGTTATTAATTCCTTATTGCAATTCTCATTTTCTTGACTTTCAAGAAACAAAAAGTTACTGTGTTGTTGGCAAAAAACTTCCAAGGGTTCATCCTTGTCTTAAAACTATACAGATTAAGTGAGGGAGGGAATATAGGCTGGCTTTAATGAAACGAAGATTGAATGGGAGAAATAGATTTGAGGTGCTTGCTAACTTTTTTGACTGTAGTCCAGGCAAGTCACGATCAAGGTTTTGGATTTACGTACAAAATGAGTGCATTAAAGTAAATTAATTCTAGTATTCGTTCCAGCTCTGCTCAAATGTTCTTTATGATGGTCTCTTTGCTCTTAGTGGAGCTGAAACTGGTTTAAACCATGTATGCAGACTTAGACATATTTCAGGCATTTGGTTTAATAAGGAAGGTGTGTATCTTCCTTTGACAAATAATGAGAGCCAAGAGGTCCCTGGTTTTTCTGTTTTTGTTTTTGGCAAAGAATTTTGTCATTGTCATGTTTTGTCTTTAGGATCCCAACCAAGCAGATGAAGAAGCAATGACACAGATCATCCGGGTGTCCTAACCCTAGATCATGTGATGGAACTTATCAAGGTCACGTTCTTCGCTACTGTTCCAGAAAATTGGTCAACTCTTCCAATGGGACACTCACAATCACGTTCTGTCCTTTTCTTCAGGACAGAGACCACTTCGTTTTAATAAGTGGCTCAGTATTATAATTGCAGTGACGTCTGGCAAATTGAAGTTGCAAACTATGGCGCACCATTTTCATCAGGACTTATCTCAGACTGCTGAGGACATTGCCATTTCATGGATTAGGAAGATGCAAGGGACCCATGCTAACCCAGCAGTACCAAATACAGCACTTACATCACCTGAAGAAGCCAGCCACCATCTCAACCTAAACTCCAGCCAGGGCAGCCACAACCACTCCTTTCCTCGGTGGGGATTCTCAGTGTAACAGAATGGACACTTTTAGTCAGAGATGGCTTTCAGGCAGAGAAGTTCTATCTTTTGATATAGAAACAATAAATTCTCTGAGATGTGAAAATCTAATCTGTGGTAATAAGCTTGGTCTCCCCCAGACTGTTGGTGAGTATTTTTGGACTCTTGCCAAGAAAAAGCTAACTCTGGGGATTGAATGATAAAAAGTCTCAAGCACTTAAATACTTTACTGAATCTCTCTGAGCTTTGTTATGATAAGTTGAGGCCTGCTTGTCTTTCTATTGAGAGGTCCTTTGGACCATACTTAGAGAGTATGGACCTTGAAGCTTCATTTTATAAGTAGAAAACAAACCGTGCTGGTGCTTGAGGACATTATTGTAACTTCCACACAGCAAAAGGAGAGGTTTTCAGTCATGGACTTTATGACGGCATTTGGGGAATAGAGGGGTTTGTGGTGTTTCAGCCTAGGAGAAAGAATGTTATACCCATGTGTGGTTATATAGCATGGTTCTCCAGATTTTTCAGTGGATACCTAGGGTATCAATTATTAAGGAGAGTAATTTACAATCACACTTTTAGTAAGAATGGAAAGGAAGAAGACTGAGATTTGTCCTTGACAATTTCTTCAAAGCACTGTTCAATCACGCCAGCCTGGACATACTCCAGTTGACCTCCTAGCGCCCGAGGTGGATCTTGGCTTCACTCTTGCAGTGTTTTGTGCCAGCCTCCAAGAGCAAATATTCCCATTCTTTCCATGGCAGCTGATTCTCTGGTATCCCATTGTTTTTCCCTTCTCTCCACAGGTCTTGGGCAGAAAAGTTTTCACACTATTCTTGTGCTCAGGATAAACTGACAAGAAATAAAATGCCTGCAGGATCATGAACTGAGCCACAACTCCCAGAGTGGATTGTGCCTCGGCAGTCTATTTCTTCTCTAAAAGTCAAACCCTGGGAGAAGTACGATATTCCAGGAGAGTTACTGCCTTCTCTGAAGGCTCTAGAGGCAAACCAAGGAAGAAAATTAAATTCTTGTGAAAAGCATTAGGGTTGATTTAATACCAAGAGTAAAGATTGGCTCACTCTTCTTTGACTGCACTCTAATTGTATTTAGAAGGGAAAGATACAAACCCTTTAAAGAAAATTTCACAAAGGAGATTATTTTAATGGTAGAAGTAGAGGTTCAGAGCTATGCACAGGAACAGGAAGTGAAATACCTTTCTAGCCTCTGGAATCCAGCAAAATGTCCTGACTTACAGATGTCAGGAGGGGCTGGCCCTTTGGTTGGCTCTTTAACATGAACTTCAAATATTAACTGTATTCACTACCCACCCCCTTTTTTCTTTTTCGATTGTGGAATAATAAAAACGAGGAGTTTGCCACTCCTTGGTTAGTCTGGGAGTCTTTAAAATGTAGCGTTGAGAAAGAAATTCCTCAGATGTAATCTCTAAGCCAGGAACACTTGTAAAATGCTATTTATTTGTGTCTGTAAGTTTGTACATAATACTATCAACCTCATATTGTTCTTGAATTATTTGGGGGGGGGGGTGAGTTTGAGTTTTATTTGAAATGGAAATGCTTGTTGTAACTTTGTCATTACATTTCAGAGAACTCTGGACCCTTTTATTGTGGTCATTTTAGCATACCATATTAGCCCACAAAGCTGGGGAGTTAAGGTTTGAGTTTTTCTTTGTTACTGGAAGTTCTTTTTCTCATTTGTCCTTGTAGTGACAACTTGAATGCCTGGTGAATGGGTGAGTGAAAAATTGGCTTACTGCATAATATTTCACCTCTTGAGTGCTCCTTTTTTTTTTTTCAGGATAATTGTAAATGCATATATTTTTAATTGCACTGGTACATTGAACATGTCAGTGTCTCTACCACTGGACCAACAGAGCATTTTCTGGCTATTGGGTGCCTGATAATGATGTCTTGATTTTCCTTTGGGACTCAAATATATAGAGGATTTTCTCCCAACAGTAGGGGGAGCACAGGTGGTCGATCATTGATGTCATTGCAATTGTTATTTTTTAAAATAAATTTATAAAATACTAAAAAGTGACTTGAATTTTGAGGTATCTGCATTCTGTGGTTCTCTTAATAGGTTGTACTTAAATAGTGGCGTTGTATTCTGTAGGCTGGTATGTGTGTAATCCCTGTGGACCAAACCAGTTGCCCTGGAATCAATTCTGACACAGGGCGACCTCATGTAGCAATGGAACTGAGCTGCCATATGATTTTAATGGCTGTGATTTTTTCCAAATAGATTGCCAGTCCTTTCTTCAAAGGAGCCTCTGAATGGACTTAAACAACCAGCGTTTAGTTAGTAGCCCAACACTTACCCATATAGATCACCCAGGGACTCCCCGTCTCTGTGCACAGAGGCCTCATGGCTGTAGCTCTCCCCTTAATAGCGCTTCTTTCTACTTTTGGCTTATTACCTTACTGAGAATTCATGTGAAGTGGTAACTTCATGGGTAACTTTACTTTAAAAAACAACAAAAGTGAAGCCTGTTGCAAAGTGGATTCTGCCCTATGGGACAGTAGAGGTGTGCCCCATGGGGTTTCTAAGGCTGTTCTTTATGGAAGCAAACCACTACTTTCTCCTATGGAAGGGCTGGTGGGTTCCAATCTCAGACTTTATAATAGCAGCTCGAACGCATCAAATTAATACAAAACAGCCTTGGTGTATTAGATACTCAAAACCTGTCTTGTTGAGTGCCTGAAAGAGCCACTGGTGGGTTTGAACTGCTGGTCTTAGTTCAAGCCCATGACTTCTCAGAAACCCAATATACAGGGTTACTATGGGTCAGAGCCAACTCGACAGCACCATCTTGGAGTCCTGGTGTGGTGCCATAAGCTAAGCACTAGACTGCTAACCCACCAGTTGCTGCAAAGAAACCCTATACAGGGTCCTTGGAACCAAGTTGGTACCATTCAACAATTGCTGTGGAGTCCAGTCATGGTGCTGTTGCTCCTGGGAAACTAGGGTGGTTATGAGTCTACACTAACTTGACAGCACTTAACACCTGTTTAAGAATTTACATTCTCAGACCTAAAAAAATAGTGGACAACTTTTAAGATTTGCACGGGAAGCAAACTGTTGATTGTTCAAAATCCACAACATGCTGATGTTTTGTTGTCTGCAAATTTGAGTCAAAAAGACTCACAGTATCAATGAGAAACAATAGACTTGTCCCTAGTAGAAAATAGGAGGGGGGGGGGATTCAAAAAATGTATGGGATTAAGAGATGAATCATCGACAAATTTATGTCTCTCTGAGAAGCCACCAAGGAACAGGGCTGACAATGTTAAAAGGTCTAACGGTATTAAATAAACAATCCTGATAATATACGTGCCGATGGAATTAAGTGCCACTGAGTCGGATCCGACCATAGTGACCCTGTAGTTTTCAAAGAGCAACTGGTGGGTTTGAATTACCGACCTTGCGGTTAGCATATCATACAGCACCACGCCGGGATCCTTCTAAGTTCAGATACTACCAAAGTTTCTATTATGGTGACACAAGGGAACGGCCACCCTACTATATCTCACCGATGGCTTTATCGTAGAATTTTCACCTTCGCATTTCAAGATTGTAAACCAGGTTTGTATGTTTGAACTCGCAGCCGTCCCGCTCCCGTCGCGGAATCAGAAATCCAGAATGCCCGCGGCGGGAAGGAGATGAGTTGGAGTCGGCCTCTAGGAGGCCTGCAGGGATTGGTCGGTGGGAGAGCTCCGCCAGGGTCGTTGATGCGGATTGGCTACCGTGCCGAGAGCCGCAGTTTTCTGGTAGCTCCGCGGGCAATCCCGCCGCCGCCATGGCGACCGGCAAGCTGGGGGCGGTGCCGCCTCCGTGGCCAGTAGAGGCCCGGTTGGCGGCGCTGCTTCCCGACTTGTTAGTCTTCAGGAAGCGCAGGGGATCGGAACCCGAGCTCTCCACCGCTCAGGGCGTCCTGCTTGGTGTCCACGTGACGGGTGAGAGAGAGAAGGGAGGCGCGGCGGACTCCCGGCCTATCAGGGGATGGCCGTTGGGCCTCCTGGAGGTCTTGGCAGTTGTGGGCCTGGCCTCGGGCGGCCTACTTTTTTAACTTTTAAAGTTTAGTTTTTTAAAAAAAGTTTATAGTAACTTTTAAGTTTAATTTCCCGCTACTGCTAAAAACACTTAAAGTTCATTTTCCGAGCAGGAGGAGCACGGATGATTCAACCTCACACCTCTTCCAAACCCCAACCCAGAGCCATGGAGTCCATTCCGACTCATAACAACCCTGTGTAGGGTTTCCAAGACTATCTATATGCGGTGGGTGGGTTTGCACTGCCAGCTTTAGGGTTAGCAATGCAACATGTAATCCAAAACACCAGATAGTGAAATTGAGACTCAGCCACATAGCTCCCTTTGAACTCAGATTTTCTTCCCATCTTGTGTATTTAACAATAAGTGTTCCATGCACCAACTGGTCCGCATCCAATATTTTATTCTTTCAATTACAGAGATACAGCGTAGCGCTGTAAGATTAATACTGGACTGCAGGATGGGATTGAACCACCACGTCACTGGTTCAAACTCACCAGCCGCCCCCTGGGAAGCCCTATGTAGAGTCGCTATATAGAGGTTACGAATCCGGCTGCTATCCTCAGGGTCAGCAGTTCAAAACTACCAGCTGTTCCACGGGAGAAAGAAGAGGCTTTCTGCTCCCGTAAAGATTTATAACCTCGGAAACCCTGTACAGGGTCGCAATGAGTCGGAACCGACTCCACAGCACATAACAACATATAGACTAAAGGGCACTTTAAAAAACCCTATATAGACTAAAGGGCACTTACCAACAGCATACAGTAGTCACTATGAGTGACATTTATTCAACAATACAATTTCTTGTCTCATGGAGATGAAGATGAATGATAAGGTACCCACCTTCAAGGAGTTCACCATAAGTTCTCCCTTAAAAAGTGTTCATCCATCCCCTTTCTTAGTATGTCCCTCACATGGGAAATACTGATAGCTTTCCTTAGTCAGGGAACTTTACAGGGTGATGGGAATGAGGAAGCAGGTTTCTGATGAAGTGGGTGCTTGTGGGGGAATCATCAACCGTGGCTCCTGAAAGGAAACATGGAGAGAATGACTTTTGGGGATCTGAATCCATGCCTGGCCCCGTATGCTTTATAAGTAACATCACCTTGAAAAGGATAATGGAACTACTCTGTTCCAAGGAACCTGCTTCCTTTACACTGCTCTGATGTGTGAAGAAAATAGGGCCTAAATGTGTAATGTTTGCCACTAATACAGAATCATTTCTGCTTTGTTGGTCAGGGTTTACAGCATTAATGGACAGATTCAGCCTGACTTGCAAATCGGAGCATGACATGGACAAACTGGCCCACATCTTCAGTTATTACATTAGTGACATCGTGGAGCGTGAGTGACTGTGGTGTAGGGGAACCCGGAGGTGTGCTGGGCTCCTGGGGGCCTTGTAAGAGAAGGAGTTACCTTTAAAGTAATGTTAAAGGGCCATTCCTTTAGTAGTATTCATCTTTGATGTCTTAAGGGTGCTTCTGACAAACTAGCTTTGCCTGTATCTGCCATTGTATCCTGTTGACTCATTATTCAGAAAGGTGGGGGAAACGATTTTTTTTTTAACTTGGCATGTCTCTGTGTATTCTGTTTCAAAATAAAATATTCCTCAGGTTGTCTCTCATAATGATATGCCTCATGTTTGTACCTAAACCAAAGTTACTATGGTTGAGTTGATTCCAAATCATAGCAACCAAATAGATCGGAGTAGACCTGCACCATAGAGTTCCTGAGATTATAAATGTTTAAGGAGCCTCATCTTTCTTCTTTAGAGCAGCTGGTAGGTGTGAACCACTGACCTTGTGGTTAACAGCCTGATGCCTAACTCACTGTGCTACCAGTGCTCCTTCATGTTTGTGTTGTTGTTGTTAGGTGCCATCAAGTTGGTACCGACTCATAGCAACCTTATGCACAGCAGAACAAAACACTGCCCGATCCTGGGCCAACCTCACTACTGTTGCCACGCTTGAGTCCTTCGATGCTGCCACTTGGCCAATCCATGGCATTGGGGGTCCTCCTCTTTTTCTCTGACTCTCCACCTTACCAAACATGATATCCTTCTCCACTGACTGTTCCCTCCTGACAATATGTCCGAAGTGTAAGAGACGAAGTTTGGCTATCTTGGCCTCCACGGAACACTCTGGCTGCACTTCTTCCAAAATGGATCTGTTGGTTCTTTTGGCAGCCCACGGCACTTTCAATATTCTCCTCTAATACCATAACTCAAATACATCAATTCTTCTATAGTCTTCCTTATCCAACTTTCACATGCATATGAGGTTTTTGAAAATACCATAGCTTGGGTCAGGCACACCTTAGTCCTCAAGCTGACATCCTTGCTCTTCAAAGCTTTAAAAATGTCTTGTGCAGCAGATTTGCCTAATGCAATACACCGTTTGATTTCTTGACCGCTGCTTCCATAAGTGTTGATAGTTTGAGTGTTTATAGTTGTTCCAAAAAGAATGGAGTCCTTGACAACTTCAATCTTTTCTCCGTTGATAAAAATGTTGTTTATTGGTCCAGTGGTGAGGATTTTTTGTTTTCTTTACATTGAGATGCAATACATACCGAAGGCTGTGCTCTTTGATCTTCATCAGTAAATGTTTTAAGTCCTCTTCACTTTCAGCAAGCAAGGTTGTATCATCTGCATATCGCAGGTTGTTAATGAATCTTCCTCCAATCCTGATGCCACGTTTTTCTTCATATAACCCATCTTCTTGGATTATTTGCTCAGCATACACGTTGAATAAGTATGGTGAAAGAATACAACCTTGTCGCACACCTTTCTTAATTTTAAACTATTCAGTGTTCCCATGTTCTCTTCGAACAACTGCCTTTAGGTCCAGGTACAGATTCCTTATGAGCACAATTAAGTGTTCCAGAATACTCATACTTTGCAATGTTGTACATAGCTTGTCATGATCCACATAATTGAAAGCCTTTGTGTAGTCAATAAAACATAGGTAAACATCTTTCTGATATTCTAATGTGCTGCCGAGGTTGAAAATCACTAGTCTAGAGACAGAAGTGGAGGTATATGGGAGTGACTGTAGATTACCACAAGCAATGTGAGCACTATACAGTTCTTCTGCACCATGCAGCCCCCTCACACGTTCATTTCTGGTGTGCACTATATGAGAGTTTGCGTGGGTACGTTATATATTGGAAAATATGGTACATTCAGTAGGTTTAAAAGACAGGAGTTGTTGATAGATCAATTTCATTGGAAGGTAGTAAGGAAAGAGTTTCTTTTTCGGCTCTTGAAACTGAAATGATGGTGGAATCTTGTACCGAGATGGGAAAGACTGGGTTCAGGAAAAAAAATGAAAAGTTCTGTTTTGAATATGTTGTGTTTGAATGCCAATAAATGATTGAAGTGGAGAAGTCAAGTTGGTAGCTATAACAGAACCTGGAACTCAGAGACTAAATATATTGGAGATAAAAATGAGGCGATGTCATGGTACTGAAAGCTAAGAACTGTTTGCTTTCACCTGGGGGAGATTGTACATAAAGAGAAGGAGCCTATGGGCTAAGGCTAAAGGAGCTTCAGGTGGGGTTTAGCACTGGGAAGAAAACCAGCCAAAGAACCTGTAAAGTAGCCGTGAGGTAGGATGTGTGGTGGTCCTCAAGCTGAAGGGAAGTGAGGTCTCTAAGAGGCAGCCAACTGGATTGAAATGAAAGATGTCAAGTCCAGTGAGGTCAGAACAAAATATCATTGAATTTGGCAAGTGCTGATGATTTTGATAATTTTGGTGACATGGTAGAGATGGAAGTCAGATTGGTGTTAAGCTGAGAATGATAGAGAAAAAATGTTCAAGAGTGAATAGAAGGTAAAGAAAAGGAGAAAAATGTGTATCGTCAATACCTTTGAGAAGTTTTGCTATGAACGTAGCAGAAACATGGCATTAATAACTAGAGGGAATGGCGTGTAGAACACATGGGTTTTTGTTGTGTTTTGTTTTTAAAGATGCTGATGGGAACAGTCCAGTAGGGAGGGAATGCAGTCCTTGAGAAGGTGAAAGGAGATAGAGGCCAGAGCACAAGTAAGGGGATGACTCTGAAGGCAGCAAATGATTGGAGATATGGATAGATTTGGAAAAGAAGAAGCTTGAGCTTTGGAATAAACAATTTGGCCAGAAAAGATTGCACAAACTCACTACTAGGCTGTTCTTTTGATCATACATGATTCATAATGTAACACTAATTTTCACTCATTTCCCCCTCTCTTCCTTCAGATGTGCTCTGTTTTGGAGGGGATATCCTAAATATCACAGGTATATTAAAATTTTCTGAATATTTAAGACTGTGAAGGGGAGAGACATCATTCTGGTGGAATTTGGCATATGTGTTTATTCTGCGTTGCTTGTATCATTGAATCCTGGGGAGACAAAGATGAGGAAGACACAGTCTACCTCGAAGGATCTCCTGGTCCAAGGGGAAAGCCTTGCCCATATTAAACTCACAAGTGCTTGACATTTCTTTTAGATAGAATGACGGGAAAAGAAGTGCTCATAGAAGCATTCTTGGAAAAACTGATAAGAAGTTTGATCATTAGTAGCAGAAAGCAGGAGAAATCAAGATTCTCATATTTGTTAAATACTTAGGATCATTAATAGCTACAAAGTTCCAGAGTTGGCCCATCATCTCACATAGACTTAAAGCAGCCCTTAAATATGACATGAATTTGAACCTACATTAAAAAAAAAATTATTTGCTGTTACAGCTTTGCAGTATACTTTGTTGGGAGAAGATTACCGGAAATATTCTTAAACTTTAGGAACATTTCACATATCTACCAAGTCATGGTTTTAGTATTCTGAATGGTTTTGAGAAGCTAAGGTAGTTTTTGTTGTTGTTGTTGTTGTTTTTTAAGGTAGTTTTTTAAGCTAGCATCATGCATACATAGGGAGTCCTGGTGTGGCACTGTGGGTTAATGCACTGGACTGCAAGGTCGGATTATTGCCGCTCATCAGAAACCCTACACAGGATTGCTATGAGTCGGAACCGACTCTACAGCACTTAACAACAGCAACAAAAATCATGCATAGGGTCAAACATCTGGCCTGACACCTACACATAATGTGATATCTACACTGGATCAATTTCATTTTATTATTTCACCCTGTCATCCTAACTTACGTCTTTGCAGGGAATGTACTCCTGGCACTCTGGACAGTGGAACAGAATCAACTAAGTGACATCATTACCCTGGTGGCAAAATGCAGTCTGGAAATACAGGAGAAGTTTGGAATTTACCATACAAGAGAAGGCCAGGACCTGCAGCTAAAGATAGGTAGACGCTCCTAAAAGAGTGATTCCATTGAAAAATTGCACTGTAAAAGATTCAAATGATAAATGTTGTTAAGTGTCATTGGGTCGGTACAGACTCATAGTGACCTGATGTACAACAGAATGAAACACTGCCTGGTCCTGCGCCAATCTCACAGTCATTGCTGCGCTTGAGCCCATTGCTGTTGCTACTGTGCCAGTCCATCTCGTTTGGGGTCTTTGTCTTTTTCGCTGACCCTCCATTTTACCAAGCATGATTTCCCTCTCCAGGGACTGGTCCCTCCTGATTATACATTCGAGGTGTTATACCAGATGAAGTCTGGTCATCCTAGTTTCTAAGAAGCGTTCTAGCTGTACTTCTTCCAACACAGATTTCTTCTTCTGACCATCCATGTAACTTTTAATATTCTTCTCTAACTTCATAACTCAAATTCATCAATTCTTCTGCAGTCTGCCTTGTTCATTGTAGAAGAATCCAACTTTGACATGCATATGAGGCTATTGAAAATACCATAGTTTGAGTTGAGCGCATTTTAATCCTGAAACTGACATCTGTGCTCTTGAACACTAAAGAGGTCTTGTGCAGCTAATTTGCCTAATTGCCTAATGCAATACATTGTTTGATTTCTTGTCTACTGTTTCTATGAGTGCTGATGGTTGATCTAAGCAAACTGAAATCTTTGACAACTTCCGTTCTTTCTCCATTTATCTTGATGTTATTTATGGGTTCAGTGGTGAGGATTTTTTTCTTTACGTTGAGGTGCAACCCATACGGAAGGCTGTGCTCTTTGATCTTCATCAGTAAATATTTTAAATCCTCTTCACTTGCAGCAAGCAAGGTTGTATCATCTGCATATCGCAGTTTGTTAATGAGTCTTCCTCTAATCCTGATGCCACATTCTTCATATAATCCAGCTTCTCAGATTATTTGTTCATCATACAGGTTGAATAAGTATGGGGAAAGAATACAACCCTGGGACATATCTTTCCTGATTTTAAACGATTCTGTGTGTCCTTGTTCTGTTCATGAGTACAATTAAGTGTTCTGGAATATGATTCTCTGCAATGTTGTCCATAGCTTGTTATGATCCACACAAGCGAAATGCTTTGCATAGTCAATAAAGTACAGTCTTCCTTATTTACTGTCCAGCTTTCACATGCATATGAGGTTATTGAAAATACCATGGCTTGGGTCAGGCGCACCTTAGTCCTCAAGCTGACATCTTTGCTCTTCAACACTTTAAAAAGTTTATGTGCAGCAGATTTGCCTACTGCAATACATCATTTGATTTCTTGACTGCTGCAGAAATCATCGGACAATATCTTTGATATCCCTTGTGAGTAAAGTTTTACTAAAGGTATACAGCAATGGTTGCAAGCATACATTGACAGCGAACTTCCAGAGGTTCAAGCCAGTTTCCGAAGAGGACGTGGAACAAGAGATATCATTGCTGATGTCTGATGGAGCTTAGCTGAAAGCAGAGACTATCAGAAAGATGTTTACCTGTGCTTTATTGACTACACAAAGGCTTTCAATTGTGTGGATCATGACAAACTATGGACAACATTGCGAAGTATGAATATTTTGGAACACTTAATTGTGCTGGTGTGGAATCTGTACATGAACCAAGAGGCAGTTGTTCCAACAGAACATGGGAACACTGAATGGTTTGTCATTAAGAAAGGTGTGCGACGGAGTTGTATTCTTTCACCATACTTATTCAACCTGTATGCTGAGCAAATAATCCGAGAAGCTGGGTTATATGAAGAAAAACGTGGCATCAGGATTGGAGGATGACTCATTAACAACATGCGATATGCAGATGATACAACCTTGCTTGCTGAAAGTGAAGAGGACTTAAAACATTTGCTAATGAGGATCACAGAGCACAGCCTTCAGTATGTATTGCATCTCAATGTAAAGAAAACAAAAATCCTCACCACTGGACCAATGAACAACATACTTATCAATGGAGAAAAGATTGAAGTTGTCAAGGACTTCATTCTTCTTGGATGAACTATCAACTTATATTTATATAAACTCTTAAAACAGGCCCTTTTGACTCATGTTAATACAGATGAGAGATTAGACCCTTCAAACAAATAACCAATTACATCACGTTTGGAAAATGTTCTGCCATTATTTCTTTAAATGTATTTTTCTGTCCCCTCCTCCTTTGTCCACCCCTAGACCTCTCTCTTCAGTCACACAGCCATTACTCTTTACATGGCCCCCCAGCTTAGAGGGTAGGTTCGTTGTTTTTCTCTTTTCTTTTTCTTCGTTTTTCATTTTGTGTAGTCTCTAGTGCTGTGTCTTTAAATTTATCAACCTTTTCTTTTGCATTGTCAAAATGCACAGTTTATCCCATTTAGTTTTGTGGGGTTTTTTTAAATCTCAGACTTGAAAATGTAAAACTTGGTTTTCATTGTTAGAAGTGCAATCCTCTATATTCTTGACCATATGGCAAACAGTTATAATAACTGTTTTCATGTCGTCTACTAATTCTGTTAGTGTTGTTTACTGGGTCTGGTTCACTTGGTTTATTCTCCTCCTCATAATGGGTCATATTTTCTTTCTTTACATGCCTGCTCACTTTTTATAGGTGCCAGACGTTGTTGATAGTTGCCAGACGCAGGATTCGTCACACCCATGCACTGGTCAATAATCAGCTGAAGACTTGAGAGGGACCTAATACTAATCTTTGGAATTCTTTCTTTAAACAGTGCTCTCCTCCCCAACACTCCTCACAGTGCTTTGTGTATTCTAGCCACCTGGCCTCCTCAGATTCTCTTCAACTCATAGAATCCTCTGGGCTCCACCTAGGTTTTCCCAGGATGGGTCCTGGAAACCCTCTGAGAGTAAGCGTGGGTTTCATATGGTTCACCTCATTGGCCTTCTATTTACCAGGGATCACTGCCTTTCATTGCTTGGTATCTACAGTCTTGAAAACAGTTGTTTCATGGGTTTGGGTATTTTTCTCCACCCACCCACCCCCCACCTAATCTTTCAGTTCTTTAGTTGTTTCAGGAGGTAAAGTAAATTTAGTACCTACCATCTTGTTACTCAATCTTGGCCAAAAGTGTTAGTTTCTGCCGTTCTTTTTAAACGACTTTTTCTTTGTTCTTAGATAGGATTGGATGACCTAGCTAGTTACAGCAGGCTTCTCTTGTTTATAGTCACTTTTCCACTGGCAAGAAAGCTTTTGTCCTCCTCAACTGTATTAGCAGTGAGAAATCTCTCAGAATCGTGTAAAGAGGAGATATGACTAAAGGTAAGGTGCATGCCTGATAAAAGAATGAAGGCTCACTCAAGGTTACATGTGAGGAGAGATGCCATGCTCAGTTACTGTGCTAGATTCAAGGTACTTTTCTGTCCCAGGTCTGTGGCAGTACCTTCTAAATACAAATTACCATTTAGTCTTTTTGATTTCTCTGTCATCAAGACTTACTAGGAATTCAAAGAGCAATTTAGAACCACTTGGAAGTCTCGGATCACACATAACTCAGGTTTGTTTAAGTGTCTGTCTTTAGATGTGTTTAAGACAGAAGGAAATCTGGGGCAAGATATTTTGAAAGTTGATCTTACCTAAGACTTCTGCAAATGAAGACTATAACAAGATGGCAGGATGCTTTGAGCTTAGGTTTTCAATATCCTTATCACTAGGAATTTTAAAAACCATTAGTCAGGAGATACTATATCTTTTCCTTGTTTTTACACCTGAGCATAATGATACTCAAAAAGATAGTCACTTGCCCAAAGTTGCAGAGAACCATGTTGAAGTAGGCCCTACCCATTAACATTGTTTTCCAGTTGAGTTTGGCTGTTCTCTGCTCGTCTCTCTTTTCTCTCGATAGGTTTGTCTGCAGGTCGGATTTCCCAGGTTATTATTGGAGACGAACAACGGCAGTACCTCTTAGTCATTGGGCGGGATGTAGATGGTGTCCAATTAGCTCAGCGTTTGGCTCAAGCAAATGAGATTGTCTTGTCCTGGAACTGCTGGAAGCTCTGTGAGCAGTACATGTTTGAAGTGGAAATCATGAGGGAGGATGAAGCTGTGAAGGTAGGAAGCCAGCCCATCCATCCACTGTGTAGCCTGAAAAGGCCTTTCTATTCAGTTGGCAGTGATCTGGGGGTGCTCATATACTGCGTGACCAAACCAACAACTCTTGGAGCTCAGGTTGGTGGGGGGTCAGGAGCATTCTCTCTGAAAGATAGACAAGGCAGGGCAATAAACCTGGGAGATGTAGGGTTAGCCAGGGAGTTAGAGTCCTCAGCCCTTCTTTTATGGAACAAAAATTAATCAAGTTGGTGGGTGGGCACAGATTTCAGCAGCCTCATTTCTGCTCTTTAGTTAAGAGATATGCGGATCATTGACCCATTTGATTTTGATGAACATTTTGACAAGTGCCTGGATTACCTGCCACATTATCGTGCAAGTGCTGGTGAGTTACTTGACCCTTTCTACCAAAGCCCCAAATTTTAAAGATAAATTTTTATGACATAAGACATTTTGTCTGCTTGCTTTTTCTTAGACACTCTAAGAACTGCACTGGAATTGGATTCAGACTCTGCACTTGAGCAAACCCTGCGGAAGCACATAATGAAAAACCTTTTGAAGAAGGTTATTTCCTACTTTTTGAGTCATCTTGTAGACTGTTGTGCATGTGTTCATAAACATGTCTGTAATGGCCTTTTCGTATTGAGCCAGTTCATCTCAAGCTCCTCGTTGTAATCCCAGCAGATTTGCCCACGTGCACCAATGTCTCTGTTGTGATACAGTGTCTTATACTTTAGTCAGATTTCTCAATTCTAGAAAACAGAAGCCATATTTGTTTTTCAGTTTGCTCCCCAAGACCCTAATACACTGTAAGCAGGGTATAAGGTGTAGCATATAGTTTAATAAATATATGTTGATAGATTGTGTATGTATGTATATGTACAAAGCCCTTTATAAGGGATTTAATGCCTAAAGGACTTGGACATCTCGAACTAACACTTAGAAAATATAAAAGCTTGGCAAATTTCATATGTGAATTAAATTTAAAGTCAAGTAAGTAATTTTAATTGTAGGTGCACTGGTTTGTATGTCTGCTGTTGCTCTTGAACCTCAGCTTTCTTTTGAGTTTTTGCTTGGTACCTATAAGTTTTTTTCCCAGACTCATCATAAAATATAGACTTAAAATGCCTAACCATGATACCGAGAGTGGCAGATACAGGCAAAGTAACTTACTATACCTTTGCAGATTGATGAAGGGCAACCTATGGAATATGTATCCGAATTCCGCACTGTGACTATTGTTTTGGTCAGCTTAGAGTTCCACAAGACAGCGTGGATGTTGCATTTGTGTCACCTTGTTCAGGAGGCTGCCTTATACATCTCCACTGCCATTGAGAAAGGGGGCGGCCAGCTGAGCCGGATCTTTATGTTTGAGAAAGTAAGTACAAGGGAACTTGACCATCAGCATTACAAGGTGAGTGAGGAGTATTATTTTTGATTCCATTTCTTATTGAAAAACCCTTGTGAGAGAAGAAAGAATGTTTTCTGCATAGTAAAATGTAGCCCAGTATTTCTCTGATAATTGAGGATCTATCGTAATAAGTGACATTACAAGTAAAGAAAATGTGGGCAGATAGATTTACCTTCAGGTACGCGCTAGAAACTGAATTTTAAAGAAAGTTGTAAGTATCAGCTTTTCTTATGTTTTAAGTTGCAATTTATTGGGTAGTTAGTAGGGGGTTAGTTAAATCAAAATTTTATTTAATTTTTTAGAAGTCCACATTGTGTGACCCAGAGTGTCCATTTCATGAATCCTGTAGAATCCTCTATTCCTAAAGAAGACCAGTTAGGAAAAGGTCTGGCTTCATTCAAGGAGTTGGTTCCGTTATGGCAAGTAAACATCGCTTTCCATTCTTTATCACCTATTCCAGGGCTGCATGTTCCTTTGTGTTTTCGGCCTTCCCGGAGACAAGAAGCCGGATGAGTGTGCCCATGCCCTGGAGAGCTCCTTCAGCATCTTCAGTTTCTGCTGGGAGAATCTTGATGAGACCAAGTGAGGAGGAAGGTGGGGCAGAGAGCAGCTTCTCAGGCCCCAGGGGGCTTTTCCGGCAGTGTGTGTGTGTGTGGGGGGGGCAGCACCAAGTTGCAGGGGTTGAGGGCATCCAAACTCTCTGCCAAAAGGAGAGAGAACATGATAACGGATGCCAGGAAACAAGATTTGGTAAGAAACGTCTAGGTACAGAACTCTGTATTGAAAACCAGGGAGAATAAAGATAAATTTCATCCGATGGGGGAAACAGAACTCATATAACAAGATTCAAGTACATTGCTAAAGAACAAGCAAATGTATAACTGACTAGAGTAGAAAGTATGTACCTGTATGTGGAGGGGATGTCCATCTGGAGGAGGAGAGAACTGTGGGGCAGTGTCCTAGACAGAATGAGACACTCTGGGGAGCTACTCCTTGGCTTTCACTCTTGGTCTGTCATGGAGCCCATTGCTTGTTTTGTGCCTCACACAGATTCTCACACTGGTATCAGGGCCTCCACACCCTGTCCCTCACGCCTTCCATACAAACCTAATTAAACTCTAAGACATCCATTTTCCTACTACTTTCACTATGATGACAAAGTTGGTTGGAATTTTCCAGATGAGTTTTTTCTTTACTAGAAAGCTATGGAGACAATATATACATGAACGAATTTTAAAAACAGTAATTTTTCGTGTTAACATTGAGTCAAATATTAATTTGCTTGTTGTAGCTTAATGGAGATGAATAAAAAATTATGTTATATGGTGCTTTAACATTTACAGAATATTTTTGTAGATGCTACTGAAGTGGTGCTGTGGGTTAATGCGCTAGACTGCAAAGCCGTTTGAACTTCAAGGTTGGCAGTTTGAGCTCACCAACTGCTCCTCAGAAACCCTATACAGGGTAGCTATGAGCCGGAACCGATTAGAAGGCACTTAACAACAACAGCAACTAGTGTGAAATATTATATTATCCCTCTTTTATGCATGAAGACAAATGCCATAGATTAGCAAATACAACTGGTAATGAAAGCCATATCTTCTGTCTTCAAATCCTGTGTTATTTTCATTTGTTTTTTTCCATTAATCCACAGTTGTGAAGTCTTACAAAATATTTCCTGAAAGAGATAACTTGCATTACTTCTTTTCTTTTTTTTTTTTTATGTTTTGTTTTCTTTAAGGTTTTTATTGTGGATTGAGTGAAAGTTTACAGGGCAGATCATCAGTTTTACATTCAACAAATCATACATCTTGTTTCATTACAATGATTATAATCCCCTCCATGTACCATCAGTTAACAGTATTTCATACATCTTGTTTCATTACAATGATTATAATCCCCTCCATGAGTGTGGCGCTGTGGGTTGAGGCGCCAGACTGCAAAGCCATTTGAACTGCAAGGTCGACGGTTCAAGCTCACCAGCTGCTCCTTGGAAACCCTATACAGGGCCGCTATGGGTTGGAGTCAGTTCTACGGCACTTAGTAACAACAACACGTACCATTGGTTAACAGTATTTCTCTCTATCCACTTTAGCTTTTTTTTTTTTTTAAATAAACAAACACTTAGGCATATATAATAATTTACATCTCCAAAGGGCACATTCTGCAAGTCTACCTTCTGGCCACCAGCTCTTAGTCCCTCTCTTCCCATGAATCTAGAGTCCTCAGCCACTCTCCCTCTCCATGCCCTCATCTCTGCCTGCATCTCTGGCATCGCTGCTTCTCTGGATAAGGTCCTGCATTCTGCTTGTGCACTTCTCCCTTGGTGGTCCTAGGGTCCTCTGTTTTTTTACTGTAAGATTAGCCACTCCCCTGTTTTTGTTACAAAACTTCTACCTTTACAATTGTGACAGTCACAATTAGTCATGATAACAAATATTCACTGTTGAATCTTCCGAATCTTATCCCCATCTCTTTACACCAGACCCATTTAGACAAGATGAAATCTATTCAGCAGGGACTCTTTCTTCCCCACCCCCATACTCTTAAACTAAACTCCCTCTTGAACCTTTGTAAGCCAGTCACTTCATGCCTTTATCGCCCCCTCATTTCAGGTAGCCAATGACTAAGTTGTCCATCCCTATCTACCCTGTGTACAGAGGGGTTAGTGTTGATACTTGATGTGAAGACTCCTTCCCTTGCTGTTGATATTTAGAGTAGCTACCTCTCTGAGTATAGGTCAGGTTCTTCAAATTGTAGCAATTTACCCTTGTTTCCTTTATCCAAAAAAAAAAAATTTTTTTTTTTGTAATCTTCCTCTAGTAGAGTTCTGATAATTGAGCCATCGAGGCTAGATCAAAAGGGTACTGTCTGCAAGTTTGGGTGTTCTTGTGCATTTCCCCTCACTTCATGTCAGCTGGATGCTTCACTCTCAGCTCTAGCCCTCTGTGGCTATGTCCTTGTCCATGGGCTCAAGTGTCCTCAGGTCTCACCACACTTTGGACCAACCAGCCTTTCCTCTTCTGTCTCTCATCTCCAGGTCAATGAAGTCAATGGACTGTGGTTGAACTCAGCCCATTTCTTCATTGCTGCCTTTCCCCCTCTTCCACTCACCAGTAGACCAATGTGGTCACCAGCAAGCTTGCATGATTGTTTGTGTATTCTCTTTGAGTTTCAGTCTTAGAGGGGAGTTTGTCCGGAAAGAACTTGATTGCTAGCCTTGATGTCTTCCTGGCAAACAGCTTGCTTATTCTTGTAGCCAGTCATGCTGACATTTTTGTTGTGGGTTTTTCCTGATTATCTTTCTTTGAAGATGTACCTTCTGTCACTCTAGCTGTTCCAGACTGGTCTGCTTGTCCTTTCTAGTGGGAATGTCCCACCTCATAAAGTTCTGGATGGAACTCAGGATTTCACCTAAGGTCCTATACTTTGTAAAGGCTTTGCATGAGGACTATTTCACTGGGCAAGTTCTAGAACCCCTTTTAGGTATTCTAATCAGTTATAGGCTGAAGACGGGCTTATAAGTTTTCTGTAATCAAGTTTCCCATCATTCTTTTCTATCCCACTCAAGTGTCTATTTTACAATAGTAGGCAAGGGAAACTAATATTCTTAAGACAGTCAAGCATTTTAGTATAATTTCCCCTCTTCAAGCTATACCTAGATCCCTGTATCCCAGAGCCCTATTGTTCTGAGGTTGAGTGTGCATCACTATTTACCTCTGTCCCACTTAGGCCATGCAAACCTGTCTCAGTGTTCCCTTGTTTATCTTGTTTTTCTGCCTCCTCCACCTTCTTGTATTGCCCTTCCCAACACCTGAACTAAACCCCCCACCCTAACCCCATTGTTGTGGTTACCTTATATTTCAATAATTCTTCCCTCAGTTTAAGACAGTCTATTATCCTGTAATCTACCTGACCTTCCCACCACCTGGATCTCTGTTCCTCTGTGTTTACCTTCTTTCAATCTGTAATTGTTTTGATCATAGACTGACCTCCCAGATCCTCTGTTCTTATAATTTCATTCTGTTCTAGACTCTTCCATTAGTCAATTGAGTTCAGGGTGATGCTGCCACATACGTTATTCTGTAGTTGTCTGTTCTTGTTGGTTCTCAGTCCACAGAACTTCCTTTAGGATGTTTTTCATAGCAGGGTTGGATTTGGCAAAATCCCTTGGCTTCTGTTTATCCTGGAATGTTTTGATTACACCATCGTATTTGATTGTCAGCTTTTCTGGGTAGAGGATTCTTGGTCAGCAGTTTTTTTCTTTCAGGGTATTATATATGTCTCCCCATTGCCTTCTTGTCTGCATGGTTTCTGTTGAGAGATCCGAGCTTAAATCTGATTTGCTTGCCATTGTATGTTACACTTCTCTTCTCCCTAGCTGCTTTCAGGATTCTCTCCTTATTATCTTTGATTTTGGAGAGCTTGATTATTATATGTCTTGGTGATTGTCTTTTAGGGTCTGCCCTTCCTGGTGTTCGTTGAGCTTCTGGAATGCTTATCTTTTCACTTTTAAGGATGTTAGGAATATTTTCTTCCAGAAGCTCTTCAACTATCTCCTCTGTAGACTTGTGTGATTCTTCCTGTTCTGGAATGCCAGTAATTCCTAAGTTATTCCTCTTCATGTTGTCCAACATGAATCTTAGGCCTTCTTCAGATCTTTTTATTCTTTTTTGTGTTTGCTCTTCTATCTTAGTGGTATTGAGAGATTTATCTTCTATCTTCCTAGTTCTGGCTTCTATCTCTTCAGTTCTACTCCTTTGCCCTTTCAGTGTATTGTCTATTTCTGATATTCTATTATTAATCATTTGGACCTCTTTCGTTAGGTTTTGAATTGTTTCCAAGGCTGTATCTATCTTATTTCATTGTTCCTGAAATGCTTTCCTGAATTCTTCCTTATTTTTCGCAACTCTATTGTATACAGTGTTTTGATATGTTTTATAATCATTTTTCTGAATTCCTTCTCTGGCATTTCCAAAGCCTGCCCATCTTCCAGTATGGAGTGTAGGTCTACTTCCAGCTCATTTGCCTCAGTCACTTTATCTCGTTTCTGGACATGTGCTGATAATGGTCATCTGCTTCTGTTTTTTGGGCATATTCAGGAGTTAGCTGTGGCCTTAATACTTAGATGGGTGTGTATTTTGTGTATCTGATTGCCTCCAGATAGATGTGATCAGGAGATGGGCTTCCCTTTTCACTCTTCTTCCTGAGAAATTTCAAGATGCCACTGTTGGTCAATGTGACGTAACTCAGGATTTAATTTTCTGCCTATTTCCTTTTTAGTCTGCTTGTCCTGCTCCACAATCCCTATTCAGGCCTATTTTCTGGTTATAAACAGTTCAGGGCCGGCTGTGGCTGTTTGGTTTTAAGTGGAAACTGTCTCTTTAAATTTTGAGGAGATCTGTGCACATGCGTAGTAGAACCCTCCAGAGGTGGGGGTGGGGTGTCCACTCACTCAGGTACCCACTCTAGTCACCAGAATGGAAGTGCACAGACAGCGAGAGAGCAATGATCAGATATCAAAAAAAAAAAAAAAAAGAATGTCCACACCTTTATCTCCATGGTTCTGCCAGGCGCCCGTG